AGAGAGAGAGAGAGAGAGAGAGAGAGAGAGAAGGTAATACCGCGGGTGGGGCTGTCACCGCGATGGTCATCGGCGGGAGAGAACGAGAGAAAAAGACAAGAGGGACGAAGAACGGTTAAACGAGAAAGGTCTACATTGAATCAGCTGATCTGATTCCCCCGTTCGCTCCAAGTTGACTTCTGTTGCTCTCCTTTCAAGTTTGATATCTCTTATCAATCCCATTAAGGAACATAGGGTATTGAATAAGCAAATTATCTGTTGAACATCAATATATTGACTTTTAATGGCGGACTTTTCGGACGAAATTTAGAATTCAGATTATTTTAACATTAACAAAAATATATTGAAAAAAACTTCTATGTTTATTATTTTTCAATTTTCAATATCCTATATTGAGAGTTTTTGATGTTTGTGATCATAATTGCGTGTAAAATAATTATGATCGGAAGCTCTATTTTTATAGTTATTATTGCTATAATGTTAGTAAAAATAATTATATTTATAGTAAATTATAGTTATTTATATTTTTATACCACAAAGAATATAAAATTATAGTCATTTCCGGGGAGACAATAATATATTCTTTTTAATATATAAATATAAACATAATTATTATACTAACATTATAACAGTAATAATAAAAATTAAACCCTTTACCATAATTATTTTACCATGCAATTATAGTCACAAATATTAAATACTTTTTTCTCAGTATGCATCTTCTTTTTTTATTAAGCTTTAATTAAAATTTTATTAGAATAGACCATTCGAAATTAATTAGAAAATATGATATTGCAAATATGTTTGCATTCTTGAAGTTTAATTCAACAACAGTCACTTCTCTTTATTTATAGTTGTGCATATACAAATTAACAATTGATTTAAAATTAAACAGAATGTATCGATATTCCTGCTCTCCTTTTTTGTTATTCGATGATTCAATGAATCGATTATTAGCAATTTCGTATAATGACACATAATGATGATTTTCTTGAGCTACGGCTCGCGTGGTACGCGGGATGGCATGCGAGTGACATCGATGCCGGCAAACGAGACAACTTTCGTGACGAACGAACGAGAGCTTCCAAAGTTCCCGAAATATTCCCAAATCCCGAATAGCATCTAGGACAATTCGGACTGCCATTTAAATACTCCGCGAGTTGATGACTCGATTTACAGTCATGAAAATATAACTATAGGTCTCTCTCTTTCTATTGAAAAATTTTAACTGATTTACAAAAGGTTAATTATAAGAGACAAAGCTATCACTGCAAACTTTACCTTAATACTAAAATTAATAATAAACAAGTAAATATTATTTTATTTTTATTTGGTATAATAAATTTGCTACGTAATTTAGAGAAATATATGCTAAAAAAGAAATAACTAAATTTACAGTAAATAAAAAGAGTTTTCTCACGATTGATCATAAAATTATTTGACTCTTATTTTTACATTTAAATAATATTAAGTAGAAAATGGAGTGATTAAAATAATGTATGAAAAAATGATTTAGATATATATGCATATATATTAATTACACTATAATAATATATTTGGAAGAACATTTATATTGCAATCTAATCGTCATAATAATTTTGAAAATAATCCAAGAATTCTATAATTTGTTATTTCATATAAAATAAAAAAAACTAAATAACTGAATATTTCAGAGAAATATTAAAATCTTGTTTTATAATCCTATAAAATAAATAAATAAATATATATTTACGATTTTTTATTTATTCGAAATTACACACTATAACTACTTCTACTACAAAGAGTCCTGATTCAATTTATTACAATTAATTCAAAATTTATTATGCCAATATATAATCAATCAACATTTAATTCACAACGAATCGCTCTTGCAAACAAAGATAACAGTTACGATTTCTTTCTCACGCTTAAACCGTTTCAATTTAGCACAAGGTCTTTTTTTCTCGAATAACATCATCACTTCCACTTTCTTTGGTGCACAAGAGTTAACGTTCAGTAGCACGTCGCGATGTCCTCCGATTTGTCGATGTCAAATGAACGAGCATCGTATCGAATCGCATTGAGTCGCATTATTCCGGTAGCGGAAGCGCATCGAACCGTATTCCGCTCGTTCTCCGAGGCCGGGTACCGCGGTATGCCGTGTCCAAGCCGGCTATGCTATATCGCCGCCAATAATTCCGCTATTTCGGGCCGGCTAATTTCAGGCCCGGTGACGCTGTGCTTTTAACGGCGGCGTTGATAGTGGAGCATCATCCAGCGTCGACGGTCACCACCACCGCCGCCAGCAATAACCACCGGAACGGTGGTTCGGTGGTAGCGAAACCGCTGCTCGCTGCAGTCTCCCGAAGGCTTGGGCCTCCTACTGCCACCCGACGCTGCTCCTCCGATCCATAAAGGTAAAATCAACCCTTTCGTATCCGTCCTTCTTCGGAGATCTCGGCATTTTTCACCAATTCGTCCCAAAATAATCCTTCCGAAATAGTAACTGATCCATTTTCGATTCAATCAGGGAATTAGTCAGGTGAGACATTTGGGCTGTATTTTGTGATTGTTAAAATCGGTAATTAATTCTGAATTTCTCAATATAATTACTGATACATTTTTGTGGAATACAGTATTCGGTGTCTTTATGATGATTAAAACGAAAAATCTTATGTTTGACCTTCCTTAAGTTTAATGTTATATAAAATTAGAATGTCGATGCGTATGAGTCTGTTATAATTATAATAAGGCAAATAGAGATAAAAATTGAATGATTATTGAATCCTTTTAGGACGTTAAACAAAAAAATAATATTAGACTATGTGATAGTAGTATGTATAATAGAGAAAATTTTTTTACTTATGTATTTGACATATATATGTATATCTACGGTGCAGATTAATTTTAACTATATAATTTTCGGTGTCAATCTTTCAGAAAAATTTAGTACTACATATATATATATATATATTTGTGAATCTTGAAAGAGTCAACCATAGAATCATAATGTGGGTTACGAAGAAGAAATAACTTATTAAAATAACTTAAAATACTGATTTTTTTAAAATGCCGGACTTGATAAGAACTAATTATGAAAAACGTTTAGAAGCAATTTAAAAGTCTTTGTTGCAAGCAAACAGGATATTCATAAACGTTATTTTTATTTCAAATGCGTCGTCGCTTCTGGCATACGTACAAAACACACTAAAATTTCTTTATACATTTTCTTTCATAAAAAGACATATTTGTTATAAAATTCAGATTAGTTTTAATTATTGTGTTTTATCTTTAATGTAAAAAAAAAGAGCAATTAAGAATCAAATTTAATCCTGTGATATTCTAATAGCGTATAGTTATTATATTTATAATTACGCGTCTACATATAATTATATCAAAATTTCTGAATGCGCAATTAAAACGGATTTAGTTAATTCTTTGTGCGTTGCTCTCTCCCCCTCCTCTCTCTCTCTCTCCCCCCCCCCCCCCCCCTCTCTCTCTCTCCTTCTCTCTCTAAAATTTTAAAATATTGCGTTTTTTTTTATTCCGATTTTTTGCGGTGTTCATAAAGTGACAATTTTACCAAGTCCGAAAACGGGAACGCGCTCTACGGAAACTGCATTCCTGTATCCGAAAATACGTGACCGTCGACGAAGCGAAAATTCGACGAGGACGTCATCGTGAGTCGGTGAGCTTTAAGTAACAGGATGGTAAAGTGATCGTTGGCGTGCTGCCACATCATCATTTACTAAAAGTCACTGCTGCGATTGGAACGCATAGTAACGATAAACAGGATCGGAAGGACAAAATCGGATTAAACACAGAGATGAAATTGATTCGAAATTAAATACGTGCGATTTGTATATAATAAACGATTGTATAAAAAAAGCCAAATTGAGATATCAAATTAAATAGCAAATTACTTATTTGTCTATTAAAAAAAGTAATATGCAAAGGTAAGAAAATAAATTGCTACCTTAATTTAGTTTTTCCACACAAGTAAAAAGAAAATTTAAAAAAAACATCTAAAAGAATATTTAAAAGTGTTTTTCCCCTAATGAGGAATGACCGTCAATTTAATGTTGAATCGGCGTCAAATCGACGTCAAAATTATCAATTCGACGTCGAATTGCTGGTAATTTCTCATTGGGTTAAATATTTGTTTATTATATATAAAAATCGCGTTTAATTCCTATCAGTTTCATAAAATCTTTTTGTTAAAGCAAGTCAAAAAACGTTTCAGTACTACGTTTCAGTTCAAGTAATCTGTTCCCACATCCTGTTTTTTTTTTAATTAAAAAAAATCAATCTGATAGAGAAAAGAAAGAGTGTTTACTGTTAAATTCATAATATACCCACAATTTGCGTTATTTTTAATCATTTCTATAGGTCGACACTATTCCTACTCAAGAATTGATCAAGTGAACCGCGACGTGGAAAGAACAAATCGATGAATGAAATACTTTTTGTTAAAATCCGAATTCTTTCATTCGATCGATTCCTTGGCGATCCCATTCATTCGCTGTTAAATCGCATGGTAATCTCGACGAGGAATCTCTGTGACGAACGAAACGCGAGCACTTCCTCGCGGTAGCATTCGGAGACGTCTACCTACACGCTGCAACTCGCCTATTTATAAAGTACGACCTCGTGGCATACACCGCGTTCGCCACTACCGCCTACCTATCATGGTCGTCCCGCGTGCAAATCAGCGCGCTGTCTAGCCCGCTTCTTCCTAATTTCCGAACGTACGA